CAAACCGAAAGGTGAGCGGTTCGAGCCCACCAGCCACTCCAAGGGAGAAAGATGTGGCAGTCTGCTTCCATAAAGATTTACAGCCTTGGAAACCCTATGTGGCAGTTCTACTCTGTCCTATAGGGTTGCTATGAGTTGGAATTGACTTGATGGCAGTGGGTTTTTTGGGTTTTGGGTGTTGATAAAAGCAGGGCTTCAAACTGGTTTGTTTCAGTTCAAACCCCTGCTAAGAATTTTCATTTCCATCTCAGATATACTGAATCAGAATCTACAGTTTAACAACATACCCGGGTGATTCTTATATATAATAAATTTTGAGAACCACTGCTCTACTAGTAAGAAGCCCTGGTGGCACAGTGGTTAAGTGTTCGACTGCTAACCAAAATGTCAGTGGTTCAAATTCACCAGCGACTCTGGAGGAGAAGGATGTGAAAGTCTACTTCCACAAAGGGTTACAGCCTTGGAAACCCTATGGGGTAGTTCTGCTCTGTCCTACAGGGTCTCTATGAATCAGAGTCAACTTGTTGGCAATGGGTTTTAGGGGTTGACTGTACTAGTGGTTCTCAGAATTGGTCCCTAACCAGCAGCATTAGCATCGCCTAGGAACTTGTTTTAAAGATAGGGTTGCAGTTTCAAATTGGGATGTGAGGATGTTAGTAAGAAGGTGATCTTGAGTAAAATGAGATGAGAGAGCAAGCCATGTGTGTACCTGGAGGAGGAGCCTTCCAGGCTGAGGGAGCAGTAGGTACAAAGGCCTGGTGTGGGAATGGGCCTGGTATATGTGAGGGAGGCCAGAGGCTGTAGCAGGAAGGAGAAGAGAGGTAATGGGTTTGGTGGGGTCTAGCTCACATAGGGATTTATAGGTCATGTGATGGCCCTGGCTTTTTCTTTGAGTGACATGGGAGGTCGTTGAAAGGTTCTGAGGAGAGAGAAATTATTTGACTTCCGTTGTAACAGGTTCTTTCTGATGGATGTGTTGAGAATAGATTGTAGGAGGCCAGGGCAGACTCAGGAAGACTAATTTGACCTGTTAGCAAATGTGGGATGATGGTGACATGGACCAGTGATGAGGTGGCAAAAACTGTTAAGATTGTGTATGTATTTTAAAGACATGAGTCTGCAAGATTTGTTGATACACTGGACATGGGGTGTAAAAGAAAGAGAGGAGTCAAAAATGATTTCAAGGATTTGGCCTGAGTAACTAGAAGAATGGAGTTGCCATTAACTGAGGTGAGAAAGATAGAAGTTTATCAGGTATTGAAGGATAGATGAGGTGTACTCAGTTTTAGAAATGGTAGATTTAAAATACTTATCTGACATCCAAATAAACAGTATCAACAAGGCTGTTCAAAATAGGTGGTATCTGGAGTCGAGAGCGGTCTGGAGGTATAAATTTGGGAGTTGTCAGCATTTTAGAATGTTCTTTAAAGCCATGAGACTGGATGAGGTTGTCAAGAGAGTGAATATAGATAGAAAAGAGAAGAGGCACAAGTCATAAACTCTGAGACACTCATGGTTGAGCGATCAGGGAGATGAAGAGGAACCAGTCAAAGATACTGAGGAGCAGCCGGTGCAGTAGGAGGAAAATCAGGAGACTTCTGAAGGCCAAGTGAATAAGGTGTTCCGAGGAGGAAGAAGTGAGCAACTATGTCACATGCTGCTGATTAGTTAAGTAAGGTGAAGATTGAGAATGGAACATGGCTTTAATGATGTGGAGGTTAATGGAGATCTTGAAGAGCCATTTTTGTGGAGCGGTAGGATGTGAAAGCCTTTGAGTTCAAGAGAGACTTGGAGGAATGGAATTAGAACCAGTGAGTATCTGATAAAAGCAAGTGAGACCAAGGTAAATGGAGTTAATACTCTTGGGATTCATTTCAGGTTAATACTCTTAGTTCAGATGACTCCTTTTTGATATGGGAAAGATTTTTTTTTTTATTGTGGTGAAAATATATACAGCAAAACATTTGCCAGTTCAACAATTTCTACATGTATAATTCAGTGACATTGATTACCTTCTTCATGTCGTGCAACCATTATTGCTGTTCTTTTCCAAATTATTCCACCACCACTAACATAAACTCAGTGCCCCCTGTCTTAGTCATCTAGTGCTGCTATAACAGGAATACCACAAGTGGATGGCTTTAACAAAGAGAAGTTTATTTTCTCACAGTCTAGTACGCTACAAGTCCAAATTCAGGGTGCTGGCTCCAGGGGAAGGCTTTCTCTCTCTGTTGGCTCTGGAGGAAGGTCCTTGTCATCAGTCTTCCCTTGGTCTGGGAGCATCTCAGCACAGGAACCTCAGGTCTAAAGGGTGCACTCTGCTCCTGGCACTGCTTTCTTGGTGGTGTGAGGTCCCAATGTTTCTCTGCTCGCTTCTCTCTTTTATATCTCAAAAGAGATTGCTTAAGACACTAGCTAATCTTGTAGACCTCATCAACATAACTGCTGCTAATCCATCCCACCACATTATAGTGATAGCATTTACAGCACACAGGGAAATCACATCAGGTGACAAGATGGTAGACAGTCATACAACACTGGGAACCATGACCTAGCCAAGCTGATACACATGTTTTTTGGGGGACACAATTCAATCCATGATGAAACATTGCCCAGTCCTGTGCCATCCTCACAATCGTTATGTTTGAGCTCATTGTTGCAGCCACTGTGTCAGTCCATCTCATTGAGGGTCTTCCTCTTTTTCTCTGACCCTCTACCTTACCAAGCATGATGTCCTTCTCCAGGGACTGGTCCCTTCTTATAACTCTGTAATGGGAATATGTAATTTTGACACAAACTTCGTGAGAAAAATTAAAGTTAGTGTAATCCACCAAGTAACCCATATTTGTTTAAGAGTTGAATTGGATAATAATTGGCTATCAAACTTTTCTTTCATAATCAAGGAAAAAATCATTGATCAGAGTGGATAAGGATCTGGATGAATATGAAGAAGAGAAGAAACACTTGCAAGAAATGGCTAATTCTCTTCTGCAATTTAAAGATGGCAGAGAAAAAACTGTGAGCCAGCAGTGCCAAAATACAGTACTCTTATGGGAGAATACAAAAGCTTCAGTCACTGAATGGTAAGGAAGAAATTCCTCCCAAATCTGCAAAATTGTAGCCAACAAACTTTTTGAAATTTTTATGTTGAAGAAGCATCCCTGTGGTCCTACAGAAGAGGCAAGCGTAAAGAGTTTCACATGGGAAGCTCACTGGGCCAAAGTCTGGGGCAAGACCTAGAAGGCTTAGATTATAGCCAGAAAGCACCAAAGAGGTTGTCTGGTAGGGATAACAAATACACAGCATATTTATAATTATCATCACGCCACCTATATTTGTTTCTATTTGCTGCTGTAACAATTTACTTCAACTTTAGTGGCTTAAAAACAACACACATTTATTATTTTCCGATTTTGGGAAATCCTAAAATCAAGGTGTTGGCTGGGGTGCTATCTTTTCAAGGCTGTAGGGGAGACTATTTCTTGCCTTTTCCAGTTCTAGAGGCCACATTTCTTGGCTTGTGGCCCCTTTTTCCATTTTTAAAACCAGCAGCATAGAATCTTTAAATTTCTCTCTCTCTCTGACCTCTGCTTCTGTCCTTACATCAACTCCTCTGACTGACTCACCTGCCTCCCTCTTATAAGGACCCTTGTGATAACATTGGACGCAACTGGATAACCCAGGATACTCTCCCTGTTTTAAGATCCTTAACTTAATCACATCTGCAAAGTCCCTTTTCCATGTTAGATAATGTATTCACGGTCCAAGGACCAGGACGTGGACACCATTGAGGAGCCATTATCCTGTCTACCATACCACACCACATGCATGGCAGACATTGCTTGTTGATTACCACAGACTTTCCTACCGAACCTGGGCAAGGCCTCAACATTTTTCTTGACTGTATGAAAGCCATTACCCATCAGTCCCCATTGGCAATTCTGAGTATTCTCCACCCCTGCCCTCTTCCCCTTATTCTCTGCCTTGGGTTGGGGTGCAGTGGAGAGGGCTGATCCCTCCAGATTGTACCAGCCAGGCCAAGGTTTCCAGTTGGGTTAAGAAGTAGAAGATACTAGTAGGAGATTCGGGGTAAGCAGAGACAGCGGTCAGGATGTTCTTTCCCATCCCGTTTCAGTTCGAGGTTCTGGCATCTCCTAATGGTACCTTCTTCATGGCTCAAGGCACTTTCCTCCCTTTCCCCTTGAGGCCGAGTGGTGTGACATTCTTGCTGTGGTTGGTCCCTGGGTGCCTCAGCATCCCTGGTGGTTTCCCTTAACTCTGCCAATACCTCTATCTGTGGTCCTTTCACTGCATTCTCTTCAGAATTCCATCTGAGTACACCTCCTCTTTCTTAACCGGAACCCAGAGTATACAGTAGTCGAGATAAAGGCTGCCTGTGATATTTGATCCAGTCTACCTTCTAATTTTATAGAAGAAACAAATGAGGTCTAAAGAGGCTAAAGTAACTTATCCAAAGTCCCATGACTAATTAATGCCAAGCCGTAACTAGAAACCAGGTGTCCTGGCTGCCACAGTAGCTCTACTGCTTTAATTTTTTTAAAGGCTAAATCTAGAATGAGTAGAATAGTTGTTGTTAGCTGCTGTTGAGTTGACTCCAGCTCATCGTGACCTTACCTACAACAGAACTAAATGTTGCCGAGTCTTGTATCATTTTCACAATTGCCAGTGTGTTTGAGGCCATCATTTTGGCTATTGTGCCAATCCCTCACTGAGGATCTTCCTCACCCTTGCTGGCCCTCTACATCACCAAGCATGGTGTCCTCATGTAGCAATTGATCCCTCCCAATGATGTGTCCAAAGCGAACGAATTTAACAGTGTTCTATTATGATCTATTAGGTTTTCATTATTGGGATTATCGGAAATAGATCGCCAGGCCTTTTTTCCTAGTCTGTCTTAGTCTGGAAGCTCCACTGAAACCTGTCCACTGTAGGTGACCCTGCTGGTCTCTGAATACCAGTGGCATAGTTTCCCGCATCACAGCAACATGTAAACCACTACAGTATAACAAATTGACAGACCCTATAAACAACCTGTGACTTGATGATATTACTAGTAAAATAATCTCCACAAATAATGCTAGGAAGGCACTGTTTGCCAGGATGTCTTTTGGTTAACGATGACATTGAGATGCTGATTCCTTATGGTTATGAATCCTTCTGTGTTTCTCTCTAGAACTTACATCAAGTGACTTTAATTCTGACCTAGTGAAAATACTAATCCAGTGATTATTTATACCATCTATTTGTCAGATAAATACATATACCATCATTCTGAGGTTAACCTGGTAAAACAGCATTGTAAACCATTTCAAGAGGAAAAGTCCTTCTGTAACTTATTAGTAATTATTTGTAGGATACTTACAAAGCAAAAGAATGTTTGTTATTTTGAGACACTTAAGTGGTTTACATTATTTTCCTTTATAGCCTTGAACAGTGTGAAAGAGTTTTGGAGCTCTTAAAACAGTATCAGAATTTCAAAAGTGTCTTAACAACTTTGATTCAAAAAGAAGAGAATGTCATCTCACTTCAGGCTTCGTACATGGGAAAGGAGAACCTGAAGAAAAGGATAACAGAGGTGAGTCCAAGTTCTAAAAGCAAATTCGATGCAGTGACCTCACTGACAAGATGTGACAGTAAAGGGGGTGTTATAAATGCGGTCATTTTCCAAACTCAGTTTAAAAGAAGTTACTAGTGACTCTGTTTTACCAGGTATCAAAGAATTTGTTGAATTTATCACTAGGGCTTGAAAAAATTAGTCCCCAAACTGATGCAGAGTTTTTTCTGTTTGGGTTTTGATACTGGGGATGTGGGTCTGCTGGACTGGGGTCACCCCTGCTGCTGCCTCTGTAAGGTTGGAACAGCCTTTGCACTGACTTTCTCTCTAAAAGGAACCTGCAACTTCATTCCAGGCTTGAGAGAATGGAGATAGTAGGAAAATCCCCTCTGTTGTTGGTAGATAAGGGGAAAATTCCCTTTTTATTTATTCACTTTCTGTGAAGATATGTAAGCTTATCTCTAAGTTGCTCTATTTGCCTTCATAGCCTCACCAATCACAACTTCATATTGTCTAAGAATAACATTTTTGGACACTAGGTGTCATTGTTTTCTATGATTTTGTGTGGTTGTCACCCAGAGTGGCAGAAGTATATAATAGTCAGAGAAGAATACACTTTGCTACACAATGTAACTCTATGCCAGAAAGTTGTTTTTCCCCATGGGTCCTCTGAGTACTAGCTAAAGTGCTGTCAGAGTGTCAAAAGCACATGTGAAATATAGTCTCCTTATACCTGGTTGTTAGAAAACAATTTTGTTAGGCTTCCTAGTTGCCGAGAGCAACATCTTAAATAGATGAGATCCTTATAAGCAGTATAGTCTTTATCTAGGACTCCTATTACCAGCCTTGCCACTTATTCCTGAAGCTGAAATGGCACCCATGGCCCAGACACAGCCAGCGCCACATGGCTAGTGGTTTCGGAGTCACCTTCTCAGACTTCGTTTCTTGGCTCTGACCAATCAGAAAGAGCCCCTGTTTGGATACCAGTTGTACAGTATGTGACTGTGTAACTGGTTTCCTGTCAGACTTAACTGAGGAAGACCAACAATACCACGAGCAGTCAGTAGGAGTAGTCAGTCTGGTTCCATCCGGCAGAGGCAGCCTCTGGGTTTGCCTGGCCCCAGCTTTATGCTCATCCTGTCCTCATTTCAGTGATTTAGGGAGCTCTGGTTCCTCTCTCAGAGCCCTGTTGGCACAGTGGTTAAAAGCTGGGCTGCTAAGCAAAAGGTTGGCAGTTCGAATCCACCAGGTGCTCCTTGGAAACCCTATGGGGCAGTTCTGCTCTGTCCTTTAGGTTTGCTGTGAGTTGGAATTGACTTCACGAGAACAGTTTTGGTTGTTTTTTTTTTTATTCCCCTCTCAGAGAATCCAACATGTTTGGTCTTACAAGATCCCCTCTGGGTTGTGTCCCAGTTCACACAGCTACCCTTCTTCTGTGCCCCTGATACCAGTTTCCCACCTGGTACTCCTGTGTCAGGAACAGGATCTCTACCTTGTTCTCAGACCCTGAATCCCTGTCTTGTGCAGTGTCCAGGTACCTAGTTCCTCTTGGCTCGAGGCTCTTCTTTGTTTATGCTAATCCTCCTCCATCCTGGAGTCCTGCCTTAGCCCTGTGAAGTGGGATCCCATTAGTAGTGGAAAGCCATCCCTGATTACGTGAGATAGCATCTGTGAAGTGCCTAGCAGAGTGCCTGGGGCTTCATCAACACTTTAATGAATTTGGTTATGATTCCCTGCCTGTGTATGACCTGTCTGCACCTCCCCACACTCCTTGTTTCCTGGCACTTGAACGCTCTTCCCGCTACTCTGTATCACAGAGTACTTTCTGGATAATTTATTTATCTGACTAGTAAAACTTCCTTCTATCACTTGCAGCAGGTGCCCTCTCTTGAACGAGTCCATCTAATGGATATGTAGGTCCAGGTCTTGATTCTTCTACTGCCATCAACTCCTCTATGGTGGTCATAACAGAACCCTGCCCTTGTCGTCAGCTGTGCTCGGCAGCCTCAAGTCCAGAGCCTTTCCAGAGAGTCAACCTCCTGTTTTCTATCAGGGTACAGAGGGAGGTCGTCTAACCTGATTGAGGAGGGCCTGCGGGTCTAAATGTTCTTCCTTTAGAATAGTTAATTCAGTCATTCCTGTTTTGGGCCCAGCCTGTATGCCTCCCTTCATAGGTACCTTCACTTTCTAGCTTTTCTGAGATTCTGTGGCACAAACGGACTTCTTTTGACTTCTGCCCTTTCCTTTACCCGTCACTCCTCTCCTAGTCTCCTTCTAGGCCAAGGTTTCAGCTTATTCTGGTTTATTAAGTCAATCACTTCTCATCCTTCAGCCTTCCAGCTTCCCAGCTTCTCATTTACTATTCTCTTTATGCTTATGGGTTTATACTATTTTTACTCCTTTATTGTCATTATAGTGGCATTTTGGGAGGGAGCAGAGACAAATGTGTATACTCAATCCACCATGTTAAACTAGGAGTCTAGATGGTGATTTTTATTTTGCTTTAGTTTTTCATTTGTCCTGACATAAAGACAAGTAAAAGAAGAATATAAAATAAAAACCAAAAGCCTTTTCCACGAGATGTCTTATATTAATTACTACTGCATTGTATATATATATAAAACCAAACCAGTTGCTATTGAGTTGATTCCAGTGTGTGTCGTAGTGGAATTGTGCTCCATAGGTTTTCAGTAACGTATTATTTGGAAGTAGATTGTCAGACCTTTTTTCCAAAGTGCCTCTGGGTAGACTCAAACCTCCAGCCTTTCGGTTAGCAGCCAAGTGCATTAACAGTTTACACCACTCAGTGACTCCCACACACACACACATGCACGCACACACAGCTTTGAGTTCTGTGTTGTTCATTTAGAGTTGTAAGCATTTTCTACATATTTGGACATACATGGAAGAAAAGGATTTTGTATAGTATTTTAAAGTAAACAGATAATTATTAATCTATAGACTTTATGCAAGGGATAAATGCTTTCAAAAACATTTCTAGCATATTAAGTAAACACTCAGTTCTGGTTATATGATTGTAACAAGATCTGTAAGGTTATAGACATGATTATTTGTCACCAATCTGGTGAGCAAAGTCAACTTTCCCAAAATATATCATATTCCATTAAATCTAAAACTCCATCAGTTATAAGATACATTCCAATTTCTGATATAAAACATGAAAAAATAGTTGGCAACAATTGTAATATACTATTAATTGTAACACACATATAATATCAAAATATTTTTTCACATTTTACTAAAAAAAATAAACTGTATACCAGCAGGTTACAAGTCAGCAGTCCTTAGAAGATAACTGTTAAACTAAACCTATATATTAAAGAAAATTTATTTTACTTTTTTTTTTGTAAATAGTTTTAGAGAGAAATCCAACTTTATAATATATAAAATTAGTATGGTTTAACTTAAAAAATACAGAAACTGGCATTTATATAGGAGCCTGGTGGTACAATGGTTATAGCACTTGACTGCTAACCAAAAGGTTGGTGATTTGATCCCACCAGCCACTCACCCTGCAGAAGAAAGATGTGCAGTCTGCTTCCATAAAGATTTACACCCTTGGAAACCCTATGGGCAGTTCTACTCTGTCCTATAGTGTTCCTATGGGTTGGACTTGACTCGATGGCAGTGGGTTTGCTTTGGTTTGGTTAGCATTTATATAGTTGCTAATCTTTGTTTTTGAGCTAAAAATAATAACTTATCTAATTCTTTGCCACTTGTGGTGAGAGCTTTCTCTAGTTCCTTATTAAATAACGTGAATAATTGTGTCTTCTTATTTTAACTATATTTTTAACTGTGGCTAAATCAAAGAATGTAGGCTTTTAATAAATTATTTATATGTCTATTATTCATATTCATGTATACATAATTTTAATGACTTAATAATATTTAGTAATAACATGGTTCACTTAAGCATGCCACTATAGGAGGACATTATGAATATAATATTTTAAACTTCTTACTGTTTTAAATAATTCTGCAGACTGGAAAATTTTCCAATAAATATGACAGAGTAAAGTTTACATTAATATATAGAGAACTCATAGAAATTAGTGAGAAGAACACCGCAAACCTAATGGATATTTATACAAAGGAAATACATTTACAATTGGTAAAAAATATGGGACATAGTTCAACTCACCAGTCATCAAAGGAAAGCAAAACTACTTGAAGATACCTTTTTTACCCTTCATATTATAGAATTTTTTGATAGTCAGTGAAATTATCACTCTTTAGATTGCTAGTGGAGAGTAAATTGATGTGCTACCCTTTTGGAAAATAGTTTAGCAATGTAATTCAAGATCCTTAAAAATATTTCTAATATGTTCTGCATCCTGCTTTGGTGAGTGACGTCTGGGGTCTTAAAAGCTAGTGAGCAACCATCTAAGATGCATCAATTGGTCCCAACCCACCTGGAGTAAAGGAAAATGAAGAACACCAAAGACACAGGGAAAGTAGTAGCCCAAGAGACAGAAAGGGCCACATAAACCAGAGACTTTATCAGCCTCAGACCAGAAGAACTAGATGGTGCCCGGCTGCCACCAATGACTGCCTTGGCAGGGAACACAACAGAGAGTCCCTGATGGAGCACGAGAAAGGTGGGGTGCAGAACTCAAATTCTAGTAAAAAGACCAGACTTAATGGTCTGACTGAGACTGGAGGAACCCCAGAAAGCATGGCCCCTGGACTCTCTGTCAACCCATAACTAAAACCATTCCCGAGGCCAACTCTTCAGACAAAGATTAGACTGGACTATGGGACATAAAATGATACTCGTGAAGAGTGTGTTCCTTAGCTCAAGTAGATACATGAGACTAAATGTGCAGCTTCTGTCCAGAGGTGAGATGAGAAGGCAGAGAGCGTGAGGAGCTGGTTGAATGGACACAGGAAATCCAGGGTGGAAAGGGAGGAGTGTGCTGTCACAGTAGAGGGAGAGCAATTAGGGTCACATAACAATGTATGTATAAATGGTTGTATGAGAGACTAACTTGAATTGTAAA